GGATCACATCTCTTAGGATCACATCTCTTAGGATCACATCTCATGCATGTCTACCCCAATTCATCAGCCATGCTGTTTTAGGCTTAAGCAGAGACCTCTGCTATAATACAGAAAGCTAAGGCAGTAAGATGCATTGATAAACATAATATGAAGATGGAGTATTATTAAGATGTCAGCTCTGTAAGGGCAAAGATTTGTATTTGTTTCTTCTTTGTGGAAGCACCAGCCCCTGAAACATTGCCCTCAATAACCCTTTGCAACTGAATGAACGAATTCTGGTCCCATATAGCAAACCATTCGCGGAAACAAAAGCCTGCTGTCCTAGCTCCACATTTCAAACACAGCTTAGCTCAGGTGAATGGGACAAAGGAACACATTCACCAGGCTTGTCAGCATAGTTGGTTTTCTAGCCTTCCCTAAAACAAGCCCAGTGAGTGTTCCTTTCTGGCAGCGTTGCTCATCTCAGACAGTGAGCAGAGTGAGGCCAGCTCCTCTCCTGTGCATGCTGGAACCGCTGCTGCTGCCTGCTGAAGCCTATGCAATCTCCCTCAAAGCACTGATTCATAAGCTTTTCGCACTGCAGACTTTTTGAGAACTAGTGAAAATCACGGCTCTTTCCTAGAAAAAAAATTTTGCACAGACGTACAACATACATTTCAAGAGATTGAAGAGGTCCCTGGAGTCCTACCACATAATACTACTGGTAGAATTTGAAGCAAACCAATCTAAAAAAGGAAGTTTTTTGTTAGATTAAAGATATGTTCAAACACATACAAACACCAAGAGAAACGTGTAATAAATCATCACGGACCTAACAACATTCTGCCCTTTTTGTTTCATTCATTCCCCTCAACTTTTACATTTTTAAGTTAGATTAAAGATATGTTCAAACACATACAAACACCAAGAGAAACGTGTAATAAATCATCATGGACCTAACAACATTCTGCCCTTTTTGTTTCATTCATTCCCCTCAACTTTTACATTTTTAATTTTGCTAGAATATTTTAAAGCAAATCTGAAATATCTTTTATCTGTAAATACTACAATATGTATCCAACTGATTAGGACTTTTCTTTCTTTTTTTTTTTTTAACATAACCATTAAACCATTAGTACACCCAACAAAGTTAATAAGACTTCCTTAGTATCACTGAATAGCCGAACTGTTTTAGATTTCTCTTGATCGTCTCGTCTCAAAACAACCTTTTGACAGTAGTTGGTTTGAATCTGGATCTAAGGCCAGACATTGAATTATGCTGACACATTTCCTAAGGTAAGAATTTGTTTTTGCTGTGTGAGTGCAAGCCACATCCGTTGGTTATTTTATGAAGGTAGAAGAGGGAGGGAAGAAGTATTAATGGGAAGGGGTGGGGATTAAGCTAATAAAAAGTACTAAAAATTGTAAAAATTGGGTACTTTTTATAATTCTTACTTGATTGCCTTATATCATAAAAACAAGGTCAGATGAGAGTCCACTCTTGAGCCCGATGGCCAGGTCAAATTATATACCCAGTAGATCAGATTGAACACAATTCATGTGAATCCAATTACAGATAAATTGTGTGTAGTTTAACTAGAATTTACATTTAATTTCACTGTCTTTCTCTTCTTCGGCTTGCTCTGTGAGGACCATGCCAAACTTCATAGGCTCCTATTCACCTTTTGATATATTAACCCCCAAGTATCATGGGTTTACCTGCTGTCTTCCTTGTGTATCCAGCGTTGATGATTACCATCAGATTTCTTCTCCAGCAGAAGCACTTCCGTGCCTGAACAGAGGTGGGGACCTTGTACCCCCAAGACCAGCTGAGGAGCAGCATGGCTTATAATTTGTCCATCTCTGTATTCAAATTGCTGATGGCAAAGCTTCTGCAATTTACTATGCTTTGGCGAACAGCTAAGGTATAGAAAATTTCATTAGTGGCAGAAAAATGTTTCATGCGCTTGTGCTGGAGACTGTAAGTTCCATGGGTGAGAGCCCCACTGTGAACCTTGTTAACTTGCCATGGTAAACTATATCACCAGGAAAACTATATCACTTCTAAACTGACACAGAAGTAGAATTCTAAGTTTATTTGGTAACAGAAATAAATGTTTATCCAGGAGAACATTTGAGAAATTCATCAGTAAAGAGAAAAGAAATTCAGTTGAAGAAGTAATTTAGTAAAAAGGAAAAAGCAAAATTCAAAACAGAAGTAGGAAAAGGAGACTGAGCATGTAGAATCGAAACAGAGAGAAATAAAAGAATTCTGTTCCAATTGTGATTGTTTCTATTGTCTATCTACAGTATCCATGGGAAGTAGAATACCATTCTCCAAATTTTTCAGTCTCCTCTAACAATTCATAGAATATTATAAAAGAAAATAATGTTACACTAATAAATTAATTTAAAGGATTCTCTTACTTAAGAACCTTGAGGCATTAAGCAGACATTAAACATGTTAAATATCACAATGCATTGGCAATTAAATTAATCTACAAACATCCATCAAGCCCCTACTATGTGCATGGTCTAAGGCTAAATGGTGAAGTGCCGAAATCTTTAATTCACATATTCCAAGAACTGCTGTAATGTTAAGCAAATGTCTAATGATTATGGAAAAACACAAAGTACTAAGGATTTCTGTCATTTCATTGGACATTGATCAGAAAAAATAAAACTAAAAAGAAAGAAATTGCATTTTGCTAATTTCTTAAAGACATCAGGGCATCTTATATGCTTATTCATAAGTTTGCTCACATATGTATTCAACAAATATACAGGCTCTGTGCTAAGTTTTCAGGAGGTAAAGGAGGATGAGCTTATCATTTGGTAGTAAAGACACACCAGTGAACAAGAAATTACATTACACTGCACAAGATAAACTAAAGAGGAGAGGCCCTGCCAACTAATACTTGCAAATACTTGAAGACAAAAATGTGCACGTCGCACCAGTGAACAAGAAATTACATTACACTGCACAAGATAAACTAAAGAGGAGAGGCCCTGCCCACTAATACTTGCAAATACTTGAAGACAAAAATGTGCACGTCAATGTAAGCAGCAGCCAACAGCAGAGAAAACTCTCAGGAATATGTTTGTCCCAAGGTGAGAGAATCTAAGATCAGGCAAAACTCTCTAACAGGAATCCTTTGCAACTTTTTACCTGTATTTCTTCTGTGGTTCCCCATTTTCAAAGAGCTCTTCTTCCATTTTATTTGGAAGACTGTCATCCTTGTCAAAGTCATGCAAAGTTTCCTGCCAGGCATACCTGAGAAGTTTGTGACAAGCCTTCATGCGGAGATGGGCTCTTGCATGTGAATCTCTATCAAGGTTCGGAAACAAACACAAGCCTAAGAGTTTGATTAGTGCTCACAGAATTTTGTCGGAGATAAAGTCTCACCATATCCTTCAGGATATTGGTGGATCTATATATCATATTTCCATAAGTGTGCCTAACATCTGAAATCCACTTCTTACTCATACATAATTTAGATCTTTTACTGTAAGTCTACAAATAAAATCACTCAATCACATAATAAAACAGCATCCATTTTTGTTATACTTAACTTGGAAAAAATGGGGCCATGTATTATATTTCAAAAATGATCAAGAGAAATTTATAACGAACATCTAATGAGACTCCTTCTGCCTATCCATAAGTGGGTCATAATTCTGTCTGGAACAGTACAGCCTAGATTACTGGGTTTCATAAAGTCTACTCATTAGACAATGTTAACGAATTTTAATTAACTTTTTCTCTCAATAGAGAAATCTAGAAAGACTCAAATAACATCTGCACATATGTGCCAGCTTTTAATAGAGAATAATACACTAAAACACTTAGGGGTAAATAGTTATGCTTTGAATAATTAAGCCAGCTTTCTGGCTTCATATTAAGGTAAAGATGTGAACAGAAGCAGTAGCCACCATACTGATCTGTATATATCAAGTTCCGGGCACACATTTACCTTCAGTGGGATCATAAAGCCATATAAGGACTGCTTGGCTGAAGGCAAGGTAAAGAGGCAAAGCAGCAAGCACATTTCAGCACTCTAAACATGCATACGTGCAAATAAAGTTCTCTGGGGCTGACTGTGATCGCCAAGGTGCTTGTGATAATTCGATGTAACTGAAAGCATTATCAAATTACCGAAATCTTCAGGGACAATTCCTGTGTTAGCAGAGCTGACTGTACACTTTTCAAATGTAACATTATTAGTATTACATGTGGATTTCTGAAACTGGTGGATAAAGACTGCCTCACTCGAGTCAAAATCTTCCTATCAGTTAAAAAAACAACAGTGCCATCTAGTGTTAAAAATAAAAATATACCTTTCCCACCAACTCCATTTCTTTGAGGAAAAAAAGAAAAAAGTGTCATTCCTAGTTTTAATAAAGTTAGCAGGTACAAACAAGATTTCCTCCCAAAATCCAGATATTCAATTTTCTTACTTGGAATTTATTTATCAGCTCTTGATCTTATTGGGAAATGGAATATAGTAAAATTTTAGGCCTATCATTTTTAAATCCGTCTTGATTTATTAATTCATTCATTTGTTCATTCATTACAGAACTAATCATTCATTAGTTAGTTATTCCTTTCTTTAACCAATATTTATTGAACATCTACTCTATGATAGGCACAGACTTTTAAGTGCTGGGGATACAGCGATGAACAAAACAGGTAAGTTCTCAGGGTCCAGGGAGCTTACGGTCTAGTGAGAAGGGAAATAATAGACAAGTAAATGAATAAATAAACAAGATGAGGTCCATCACAGGATATTGTGTTGGAAATTGGCTGAGATGGGGTGGGGTCTGCTTTAGCAATGGAGTCAGAGAAAGCTCATCTGAGAGTTGATGTTTGAGCTGAGACCTAGAAAATGAGGAGAGAGTCATGTGAGCATCTAGAGGGAAAGCATTCCAGGCAGAGAAAAGAACAAATGGAAAGTTCCTGAAGCAAGACTGTATATGGCCCATTTAAAGAACATGAAGACACCTGTGTGGCAGGTATGCAGCGTGTGTGGAGAAAGGTAGAGCTAGATGCGGTTCACGTGGGTAGGGCCTGTTTCTGTAACCTAGTGAGAAAATGAGAAGTTCTCCCCAAGCTCTATGTTCTGAAAGGCTTTTTTATCCAGAAGCATCAGTGTAGAGGCTAGTGCTTCCAGAGTTTCTTTTTCACTTTGTTTCTTACCATTTTTACCAGACATCTTTACATAGAACCCAGCAATCAAAAAGGTTCCTTCTAGATTTATGTTCTAGCCTCTTGCTTTGTGGCTGTCCCTCCTTAAATCATCCCAATTCTCAAACATGTGATAACCTCCAAATGAGTATACTTAAGAATGGGGAACTCTTACAGTGACTTTCTAATGTAAGATGATTTAGAATCATGTCAGCAGAAATGCTGCTGAGAGAGCCAAGACATGGAATCAACTTAGGTTCCCGTCGACAAATGTATGGATAAAGAAAATGTGGTTTGTACACACAATGGAATACTATACAACCATAAAAAGAATGAAATCCTATCAGTTGCAACAACATGGATGAGCCTGGAAGACACTACAAGTGAAATAAATCAGGCACAGAAAGATACCCAAGTTTGGGTTCCAGTCAAGATGGCGGAATAAACGGTCCCCAGTGTCACTCTCTCCCACAAATCAACAAATTTACAACAATAAAAATGTAGCATCAGACAAGCTGAGGCCACTGGAGCTCAGGTGAAGAGGAAGAGAGACCTCTGGAACTCATGAAGGCAGGAGAAACCACAATGAGAGAAAGAGAAACTGCTCTCAGCGTTTCGGCCCGCAGCTGCTTTAATGCTGGAGCACATGGATTAGGAGCTGGTAGAATCCACAGCTGTGCTCTTTATATGGAGTTACTTGGAGGTGGAAGAGGAGAAGAGGACTTTGGTGGCACCCAGGACACCAAGACCACAAATAGGGTTCCCGTGGACCCACGCAGGAGCAAGGAGCCAGAACAGCTGAAAAAGGGGAGCCATTCAGAGGCTGGTGAGTCAACGCGGGGGGACCAGTGCAGGGCCTGTCCCATGGGAAGTGTTTGGAGCCTGGGCAGTGGGTGAGACAGGCCCACCGGGAGAACACTGGGACACAGCAAGGACAGCCAATCCACCCCCCAATCAGTGCAGGACCAGTCAGAAGAGACTGCTCAGTAATGCAGAATTGCATGGGATGCAGTTTAATGAAAAAACTCAGGCCCAGATCAGAGTTTCTACACAACCCAAGTGCACCGAGTACCTGGAGAGCTGGAGGTACCTTTCAGGTCAACCATTGAACCCTGAGCTGCACAAAATGTCTTCCCTATGGAAACAGCAGCAAAGCAGCAATTTACCTCAACCACACAGCGCAAGTACTGGTTCCCACAGGAATTTCCCCCATGTTAGAAGTAAGCAAAGGACAAAAAATTAGTTCCAGCCCAGGCATACCACCAATGCCTTGGGGTCCAC